CACGTGTGGCGTGCCCTGTACTAGGGAAGCTCACTAGACATTCAGTGCCCAGGGTTTTTATTGGGGTCCAGTCCCCCAGCCTCTGCCTCCTACGTACCAAAATTCCAGACTCCCAGAAGTAAAGCAGGTGTGCAGCATAAACCGTGTTGTTTGTACAGTGAGCTACTCTTATCAGTTCTGGAAACGGTGGGAAGCCTCCCCACATCCAAATTCTCAGACACCAGCCAAGGGTCAGCCTCGCCAGCAGGGCTTTCTAAGGATAACAGCCTCAGGCCTGCTATGTTTACTCTTTTCTGCACAGAAATGAAACTCTCCATAATCACCCCAGGGAACAGCTCTTGTGAAGATACCATTAAATGGGCAATGTGTCCTTAACCCTGGCAGGACATTCCCGGTCTTACTGTCCCCAAGGGCTCATTTGAGTGTGGCGCTGGGGTCCTCCACATATGACTACCACAGGCAGGTTCAATCCTGTCTCTGCCACACTCCAGTTTCTTCTTTAAAATGGGCACAGGAGTCCATTCTCTCCGCTGTGCCCTCTACACAGGCTGTTGTGAGGACAGTAAAAAGACCTCTTGCCAACTGTAAAAGGCTTCCACGGAGGGACCTGAGGACTCGGCAGGTTGTGCCACCCCAAAGGGTGGTCTCCTCGAAGATGCCCTGCCTGCTCAGGGCCCTCTACTGACCTCTGGTGAGTGGGCCTACTGGTCGGGCCCCGCCTGAAGGCTCCAGAGGCCGTGGCCCAGAGCCCTCACTCTGGTGAGCCCGGGGCACAGCCTCTCACCTTGCTGCTGCCCGAGCTGCCACGCTCCTGGAAGAGCCAGGGCTCTCCTTTCTACCTGCCTTTGGCAAGAGTCATGTGGCTTTCAGGAGGGAGGATGGTGTCTGGTCAGCCCGGTCTGTGAATGTGCCAGCTTTGTCTCCCTAGTTTTTCCTTGCTAAACACTCGTTTCCTTCTGCTTGCGTCAGCAACAGCCCTGGAAATGCTAGGCTGGCACAAACCCACCCATCAGGTAACAGAATGGTCACCCAGGTGGGCACTGGGGGTGGGCCAAATAGCACCAAGGGAAACTCAAATGCCCGGGGGCCTGGTCGCTAACCATTGGGCAAGCTGCTAACAATTTCCTCCTTATCTGCAAATGAGGATAATGACTGTGGCCCTACATCCTCCGGGGTGAAGGGAGAGAATGAATGTGACTGTGTTATTAACCATGTGGAGCTATACAAATGAAAGGGATCGATATTGCTAAGTGTGTGGGGATCTGTCCCCCCACCCCGTCAACTGAGTGTCTTTGATGGCTGGAATGAAAGATCTTCCTTAATGCCTCTGAGATTTCTTTAAAGTTAATGGCGCTCGGGAAGGAAAGAATATCAGAAGTCATCCGCCAGGAACCCATCTGCTCGTATGAAAAAAGCACACAACCAAAGACTTTAATAATCAACACACTGAACAGCCCTGTTAATTTATGCTAATAGTCAACGTGAGGATGTGGAACCAGAAACAGCTTAATCCGGCTCCCTGCAGCCTATGCCTCAAGCCCCCTCCCTCGGCATGAAAGGCTTTTGAGCACGAGGCCCCCCCTTCTTTGTCCCTCTCACAAAGTGGTATTCGCTGCCTCTCCTGGTTACCTGGTAACACACGCCTTGCACAGACTGAGGTTTCTAAGTGCAGCTGGAATTTCAACCGAGGCGAATTTTCTAAGATTTTGGATCTCGAGAGCTCACTGAAGCTTCAGGGGCTCAGTGCCCCCACGGGCACTGGCACGGGACCCCGTTCCTATTTAATGCAGCATTCAAAACACGACCTCAACCTGCTTTCTGCAGGATCCCAACCTCCTCCCAATGCTAGCAAACAGTCAGGGTGCATACATGGAACAAAGCAGCCTTTTATTTTATTTCATTTATTTTTGCCTGCGTGGCATGCAGGATCTTAGTTCCCCGAACAGGGATTGAACCCATGCCCCCTGCAGTGGAAGCTTGGAGTCCTAACCACTGGACCGCCAGGGAATTCCCCCAAAGCAGCCTTTTAAAGTAATGATAACAATAACAATTACAGTATTGTTACTGATAATAACAGTAACAACAACGCCATGCCACCTTACTGTTGAGAAATGGAACTAATAACTCAGTACAGAATGAAGTGTCACCCTGCAGCATGGCACTCAAAGGCCTGCAATAAGCCTGCCCCAGACTACTCTGGGTATCATCTCCTCTGCCAACCATCCCATTGGGTACTGCCCACGGGCCCACTGTTCACACTCGCCCCAGAATCTCCTTCCTCCTTGTATCCGTTCATGCTGTGCCTCCCCATCCCCCCTTCTCAACCCAGGAATTTTCTACCCATCCTTCAAGACTCCTCTCAGATGCCTCCCCTTCTGTGAAGCTATACCTGTTCCTCTCAGGAGCCATCACCTGGTGCTAAACAGAGGAACCAGCAACAAGCCTTGGGGGAAAAAAGGAAGGTGGATTCAGACTGAGAAACCCTGAAGATTCAAGGGTAGCCAATTTGCAGCACCTTCCAGAGTGCTAGAGGTGCATGGCCCCATCTGAAAACAGCCAGGAAAACTCAGGCTGGAGCCCCACCTCAGCTGGGAACTAGTTATGTGGCTCCAGGGAATTCTCTTCTGCCTGCCTCAGTTTGCCCTTCTATTAAATGGGAGTGAGACCTGGCCAGGGTAGTTGTAAAAATCAAGGAAGAAGATGGAATGCAAAAGCGATTTCCAACAGCAAAGAATTATTCTTATGTGGGAACATAGTGGGTCTTCAATACATGTGTGTTGATCAAAGGATTACTCTCATTAATAGCATTTTGGGGCATTTCAGAGAGTAGGGGGAAAGGTCAGAATTTAAGCCTGAAAACTGTTTCCAAATGCCCCTCAGAGGCATGGGTAAGAACACTTCCCACACTGCGGGAGCCTAATATTTACAGAGGCCTCATTCCCTTAAAGTCAGGTGCTTGCTTACTTGAAGGCACAGGTGAGGACTGAGGAGGGGTGATTTTATTACCAATATTGAAGCAGAACAGCTGCTGCTCTGACAGTCTGTTTCCCTTCAAGCAAGGTCCCCAGGGGCATTGTTAAAAAGTGCTCCTGCCAAGTCATCTGGATAAAGGATGGCTTGAGGGCAGCACAGAATGAGGTGCTGCCTTCTGGCTGGAAAAGATCCCCCGTCCACACCTTCGTGCTTCACCAGGACACAAGGGCAGGGGGGCCACACAAACATTTCAGGACAAAACGAGATGGGAAAACAGTGCCGGGGTCTGGATAGTGGCTGATGACACAATCGCTGGTAGGGAAGGAGAGCAAAATTCTGGGGAGGCCTGATGCCTGTCACTAATGGGATCATTAAGAGCAGCTTCTGAATTGCCTCTGTTTGGCCCCATGAACATCTTTACTCCCAGGGCCTGTGCCTGAGGTGGGCTCAGAGCCCACAGATCAGAGTGGAGGGGCTGTCACATTTACTTGTCATTTGGTAATTTTCAATGAATTAGGGGTATGGGGCTTCCATCTGCCATCTGGCCACACTCTGGTAACCATGGCAACCGCCACCTGCCTGACTTAACACTATCAAGTCCTGTCCTGAAACAGTACTGAATAGGGTGCCGGGGACCCAGAAGCTAGCCAGGCTTTACAGATCACCCTGGATGAGTCCCTTGCCCCATGGGTCTCAGTTTCCTCTGCATAACAGCAGATTTGGTCTAAATGCCTTCAAGGCAGCTGTCTCTTAGGAACAGAATACCAGCCCAGGGAGGAATCATCTGAGACCATCAGCACCGGTTAGAGTCTGGGGACCTGGTCAGCATTTCTCATGTCTCCTGCATGTGAAGTGAAAGTGTTACCTGTCTGGAAACAAAGAGACCTGCCTGTGAATTAACTGCTGAGGAAAGCAGATTGTAAAAGCAGGTGACAGGAATGAGAAGAAAGGAGACAGGACTGTTTAAATGCCACAGGGCAGAAACAAAGGTTTGAAGTGGAGGAACCTCTACAGTGGCTCCACAGGGGCTGACACAGCCCCTGGAAGGAACCAGCCCAAGGCTGCAGCCAGGGAAACACCAGCCAGCTCTCTCCTCCACTGGGAGCCCCAACCAGGAACAGCCAGCGGTGACTTTCCTGTGCTTCGGGGGCTGCCTCAGACCCCTCAGTGGGCAGCACATTATTTCCAAGTTTCCAGGGACAGGGGCCTTCTTGCCTCATCTCCAGTAGGAACACCCTGCTCCCCAAACTCCCAGTCTCCTGGAGGCAAACATGCCAGGCCTGGAAATAACTGTACCAGCAATTACTTAAGTACCAAAAGGGACAGCAGGCTCATCAAAATTACGACCAGCTCGGTGGCTGGTGTCTCCATGGGTTTGGTAAGGAAGGGTACAGGTTGTGGATTCCTGCCCCGGCCTCCTTAAGTAACTGGCCAGGTAAGGAAAAACTGACCCGAGGGAAAACTGAGGCCCGTGCAGTGCTGTCCATCGCGGCGCACGGGGTGATCCTTCACCCCACAGCCCAGGGGGTCGGGGTCCCTCTTTCTTTACCCGCCCCAGCAGTGCAGGGCAGAAGCCAGACTCACCAAATTCGCAGGGTCCGTCCCGCGCCTTGTGCAGGTGGCCGGGGTGCGCGCGCGGCACCTGCCGGGCGCGCAGGCGCAGCGCGCAAACGCTGGGGTACGAGCGGCCGTCGGAGCCGCAGACGGCGCCGCGCTGCGCGCACACGCAGAGCCCAGTGCCCTCGGGCCCGGCCCCCGCGGCGCGGCTCGCGCACACCAGCCCGGGGCCGCAACGCACGCCGGCCCACCCCCCGCAGCTCGCGCCCTCGGCGCCCAGGCAGCGCGCGCAGCAGCCGCACTCGTCGCGCGCCGCGATGCTGGGCGCGGGGCAGCGCGCGGGCTCGGGACAGCGCTCCGGCCGGCACGGATCGCACTCGGGGCTCTGGCCTCCCGCGCCGCGGAGCCCGAGGCCGGGTGCCGGCTGCGGCTGCAGCAGAAGGAGCAGCAGGAAGAGCACGGGTGAACGCGGCATGGTCCGCTCTGGGACGGCAGTGGCGCCTCTGCCTGGAGCTCCGCTCAGCGAGCGCGGCGCCTCCACCCCGCCCGCCTTGCAGTCGCTGATTGGCCGGGCCTGCACCGCGGGGCTCCCGCACTCTGCTGCTCGGCCCCGGACTAGCGCGGCCCGGTAGGCTCCTGGCCCGGCCCGGGTTCCGAGCTGGAGGGGTGCTCTGAGACCTGCTCTCCGACAGCCAATGGGCTCTTGGAGACCCAGTCGGGGCGGGAACTTGCCCGAGGTCGCTCTGGTAGAGCAATGATTGGATGTACGGTCTCCGGATCCGAGGTTAGCTCCAGGTACTATTCCACTTAATCCAGAAGGATGCGCTCTTTTATTTTATTTTGCATTTAGTAGTTTTCTAAGTTTTATTTTAAAAAGGGAATATATAGTTTAAAATTTCAAAGTTTACAAATGGATGTAACTATGAAATGAGGGCTTCCCTTCCACCCTATGACCCAGTATCCCACCCCCCAGCTTCAGGAGGCTACACTTTTTATCAGGTTCTTGGGTTATCTTTCCAGGAATTTTGTATGTTTATAAAACCACGTATGATTGCATGGCCCCTCCCTTTAAACACACACACACACACACACACACACACGCATGCTCTACACATTACTCTGCACTTGGTTTTTCTACCCACGGTATTTCCCATAGTTTCCCCACCTCTTACCATCTGTGAAACTGACCGTCTTGTAAATACAATCAATGGAGTGGAGTTTAACTGGCTTTTTTCCGCCATAATGCTACATAAAGTCATGGTGCATCTCAAAGTCAGCCGTGACTTTGGCTGTGATGAGATGGTGATACATTTTGGATTGTCCTCGGACATTTTAACTTTGCAAAGTGTTTAACTGCACAAAAACGTAGTTATTTAACCAGTTGTTTTCAGTACTTTTGCTACTGCAAATAATGCTCTGATGTCCTGGAGCACAAGCGGCAGCGTATCTCTGGCATAGTGGGGTGTGCGTGTTGGGAAGACACAGTGGAACAGGTTCTTTCAGTCAGATTTTTATTCCTGTGGACCCTGTGCTTGCGCAGAGTCAGACTCTGCACCAGTCCTGGCAGGGGTCCCAGACGAGAAACCCAAGGGAGTCTTGATTGCTGGAGTTTAATGTGTGGCCAAATGAAGACACTGGATGGAAAGAAGGACTTGTTGACCAGACTTTACGAGTGACTTTTCATGCCTTCACCCCCTAGCCCTCATTTGCCCTGTGCTGTTTTCTTTATTTTCTGAATTTCTAGAGAAGAGATGGAGGAAGCCTCTTGGAGTCTGGGAAGACCAGCTACAGTACTCTTGTGTGATGTCCATTTTGCTTTTCAAGGTCCTTTCCAGTTTGCAGCTTTCAGGAGATGTCCTTATTCCCAAAAGGAGCCCCTGCAGAGGCCACTTTATGTAGTGGTCAGAGCAGGGCCAGCTGCCTGGCCTGCTGCAGCTCTTCCCTTGCAAGTAGATACATAGAACAGGTACAGGCAAGCACTAAATATAATAATGTCAGTATAGCACTCGACATGGCTCTCAGTACTTATTAGCAATTGATTTCAACCAGGAGGCTGCTATCTTTACCTGGAATGGTCTTTAAAAGTGCTCACACCCCTTGACCTACACCCTTCTATAAGCCTCTCCTAAGGAAATATCACTATGTGTGAAGATTTCATTCTGGAGTTGGTCACTACAGCAAAAATTTGGAAAAAACCTAAATGCCCACTGATAGGCAATGATTAAATAAATTATGGTATATCCAACAATAAAGGATTATCTGGGCATTGAAAATGAGGAAGGAGAGGTAGCTTAATTGCAATGAAAAGACGTTTGTAATATATTGTTTAGTGAAATAGCAATGATAAATTGCATGTCTAGTATGAAGGCATATTTGTAAATATGTGGTTTTGTATATGTGCAGAAATTCAAGATAGTTTAATGATGTAAAGGAAACACTTATAATGTTAAACGGAACAAAGCAGGGCTTGGAAACAAAAGAGATAAGTTCCATGCTGGTTTTTAGAAACATCCTTCCTAATGGGTTCAAACTTTCAAATGGTCATGGCTGTCCAAAGTGAGAATGGACTGCTCCAGAGGTAGTGAGCTCCCTGTCAGTGGAGGAGTTCAAGGATGGCAAGGAGTGTGGAGGGGATCAAAGCATCAGGGATTGGGTGAGAGGATCTCTAAGTCCTTCAAAATGAGCCACGATTCCCATGGTACAGTGCCCTGAGACCTGGACTGGACAAAAGCTGGTCGTGATTGGCAAATAAACGTACACAGGAATGATTTGCCAGCTTTTAATGCAAACATTGAGAGTGCAGTAATTGAATGGTGTTATAATGATGAAGTTAATGTGTGCTTACTGCAGGTTGGGATACACAGTCACAGAGGCACATTTACAATGATCTACATGCCTTTTAAGTAGTAGGAAGAGCATTCTGTAAGCATGACTCAGAATTAAAGCAGAAGACTCATTTTCCAACACTGAGCCTGTGGTATCTGGTCGGAGAAGACATTCCAAAGCTTTGAAGGTGATAGGCATCCACTTCCTTTTAAAAGTTGCCGGCAAGCCCATAGCCCAGCGAACTCTGGTTCCCAGAGCACCAGTTAGCACTGTGGGCAACACCTGTGGGCCCATAGGATTATGGGAAAAATGGAGATGAATTCTCCCGGCGGGAAAGGGGGTTGAGGCACCTCTGCCACGTGGCAGGTATGAGCTCCCATGGCGTGAGTGCCTACCTCCTCTGCTCCCAGCGAGCACACAGGGAAAGCTGGCTAATGCCCCACTCAGGGTGGATGCACACACACCCAGCAGCTGCTAACATGGGTGTGAACGTCCCAACCGATTCACTCCTCCTGTGAGTGTAGATATGAACGGCTCCGTTCATATCTAACTTGCCCTCCAGGAGTGGAGAGGGGCTCACGTGAGCAGAGGACCCTCCATCCACAGGCCATACCCTTGAATCTCAAGCATGACAGGCCAGGCATAGAAGGTCCCCATCCAGGCTGAGGGAATATGAAAGCCCTGGACTCTGCTGGACCATTCCAGAGTAGAAGGAGAGGTGGGTTTCCAGAGAGAAGCCCATGAATGAGGGGTGGCAGTTCTAGGGGCACAGATTTCAATCCAGTGCTGTGTAAGAGGGAACATACAAGATGTAGAGCTCTGCAAAGATGGGGCCTCAGATGCTGAGCAGCCAAGTAAAATGGTAGAGGGCTTTGCCCTCCTGCCATAAACAACTATAAAACCTGGACAGATAAAGAAAACAGCTGTGTGCAGGCACTGCATAGTATTTTCCATCGTGGGGCTGTGATCCTTGAGAGGGAACACACATAACGTGAGCCCCACATCTACCCAGACCTTCCTCCTAGATAGGTTTCCCAGGCCACAGTATGGGGAGGTAGAGCCCAAGCAGATGGCAGAAGGTCTCCTGGACAGATGAGGCAGAGATCAGAGTTCAGGGCTCAGGTAGCTGGGTCTTGTGGGGAGGCAGCCACAAAAGAGGGAGGAACCACAGAGAGGGAACCCTGGAAGTCGGTGTAGAAATTCCCCTTCAACATTTGGCTGATCCTGAACCACACAGGTGCAGGGTGAGACCCGGAGGCTCCGCAGAGAGCAGCCGCTGGGGGGCTGAGGGCTGGGTGGAGATGCTGGGGCTCACACAGGCCCATCCAGAATGGAGTGCCCCAGCCCACCAGGAACCCTTTCTCCTAGCTCAGAGACACCAGGCAAGCAGCTACACACTGCAGAGGTGTGAGTTTCAGCTCTAAGAGCTCATGCCATATACTACTAAGTTTAAATAATTCCAACCTTTCCCGTTTTTTAAAAAAAATATTTATTTATTTATTTGGCAGCTCCAGGTCTTAGTTGTGGTACATGGGATCTTCGTTGCGACACGTGGGATCTTTTGGTTATGGCACGTGAGATCTAGTTCCCTGATCAGGGGTCGAACCTGGGCCCCCTGCATTGGGAGTGCAGTCTTAGCCATTGGACCACCAGTGAAGTCCCTCCCTTTGTTTTTCTAGTCCTGATAGTGGTAGCTGCTTCCTGCAGTTGCTACCTCCAAATTACCTAGTTAACAGTTCTTTATGTTAACTTCCTTTTTTTCCACCTGATTAGACCCTAAATGGAGTGGTCTCAAGAAACAACCCTTAAAGATGGGTCACAATCAGAGAACCAGAGAGCTTAACTAGAAATAAGCACCAATAATAATATAAGTTATTTACTAAAATAGTAAATTTATTTCTTATAAATAAATAAGGTGAATTAGGGTAAATATTGCTGAAAATGACATAAAATTTAATTGTGTGGTTTGCATAATTACAAAGTGAGTTGAATTTACAGCCTTGCCAATCTCTTGTGTGAAAGTTAGGCCATTGATTAGGAAGGAGTGGGAACTTGGATTTTGATTGGTTAGCCTTAATTTTATGTGGCATAATCATTTCTGGTAACCAAATCATAAAGTTCTATCAGGGTGCCCGTGTCAGTGGTGCTCTGCTGGTCAAAATTTGAGACTTTGAAATAAAAAATTTGTCATATTTGTGCCTCCAAAAAAAGAGAGTTAAAATGGGGATATCTGGTGGGCTCAGATGAAGCTGAAAGTTTAGAGCCTCTGAGTTATTCTGAGCCTCTCCTGCCAGTGGAAGCAGCTTGCAAGTTATGTGTGGGAATACTCACTTTCCCTTGCTTAAGGACACTTTGATAAGGTCACCCAGAGCAGTTATCTTGCAAGGGATACCTTTTCTCCTCAAGACTTAACCCGCCCCCTCTTATGGCCAGTAGACTCACAACTGGCATCAGAGCTCCACATGTTCAAACAGGGCAAGTACAGAGTGTGATCTGGGAAGATACAGCTTCTCCACTGAAAGAATGGCAAGATTTTGCTAAACTACATTGCAGCATCCTGTGGAGTATGTGCAGGAATGGATTCTAAGGGTGTTAGACCAAGGAGGACAGTTGAATACATTCAATAAAAGTTGAATTTATTGATACAAGTGCCTTACCTGAGATTATGGGCTTAATGTGTTGGTTTGTACAGCTGGTTATGACTTAGCTGTTTGAGTGAAATTGAGACTCGATGAGCATCTTCCCTATTGTGTTATGAAGGAAGGAATCAAAAGGCTTATGGGAGATGTTGGAAGAGAGTTATTATTGACAACCTGCACGCCCACCCACCCACTACATTCCCCAAGGAGGGGCCCAGAGGACTTTCCTTTCCCTACAACATTGGGGAATTCATTAGTGGGGGGAGCAGTAGTATCCTTGAAAAGCCCTGTGGTGGCTCTCCTCTGTCGGTCACATATGAGGATGGGAGA